TAATACATGAGATATTATGGTCATCCAGAATAGCAGTTATTGAAACGGTTATCGAGCCAATTATCACATTCCACGATTTAAGGAGCCCATTTGAAGGCAGTTGAACGACAAAGAGTAATGACAGTGGTTAGAGATGGCACTTCCACGACAAATTAGCCACCATTAAGAAAGTGGATAGTTAGAAAGCAATTAAACAGTTTTCCAAACAGTTTGTCACGAAGAAATTATCATGAGAATATAAAAGGAAGAACAGACATAGAGAAAAAATTCCCGAATCAAACATTCTCAAATAGAGAATATGTAATTTCAATTTCTTAGATTAACTTTAATTATCTCTTTTTCAGTATTCGTGTGCTTGCACCCTTTAGAGGCATTCTATTTATTTCCAATTATAACTCTCATCAATAAAGCATCTCTTTTTGAGACTTTGTCTTAAGAGATTTGTCCCTTACACAATCTTCTGAATTTCTTTTTTAATTGTTAGCAACTACCCGCGCGAAACAGTTATACTCTCGTTATTTAATATTTCTTTAGCCTTCTTATTGTACAGAGGCAAAGATTATCTGTTATCCCAAGTATGTGTCGCAATAAAAAAATACTTTCAAAAATATTTTTCGACTCGTACATATTATTATTTTTTAGCTTCAATGTTGATCCCAAGTATGTGTCGCGATACAAAAATACTTTAAACATTGCTTTCAATTAATTCAAAACGATTCAAATTTTACCTTTGAAACAAATATATCCGTTGTCACAAGGAAGAAATATAAAATTGTATAATTCACACCCAAATCTAACACTAGTCTCTTTAGCACTATAATTCATGCATTACATGCCATTCAAATGCCATTTGCATTTGCATCGATATTTTATAATTGTTTCCTTTCATAAGTGTATCTTGATTGTTGATATTTTAAGCTTCTCGTATGGTGATAGTTTTTCAAACTATATAGATTTAACTTTTTTGACTTCAAAATATTGTATGAAACTCATATAATTGGAGTACCTAATAGGACGAGACATTATTAGACACCGACTTCTTTAATTTACTTCAATAGTGAAATGCAAGGCGATTTCATTATTGATATTGTCTAGTATAGCTTCGGACTTGTTTATAGCACTTACAGCGTTATAAACACGTATAGATGTGTGGTCTAATATGATAAATCAAATGTTAGATCGAGAAACATCACGTGACTTGGTCAATATTAAAATCTGAATAGAAGCACAAGTTTTTTCTACACCATTGCTTCAAGAATGTGAATGTGGTCTTCCGGCATCTTTTCAGATGCGCTATTCCGGACTATTAAGATAGTATTTTAAGTATATTTTGTTTCTTTATTCTTTATTAAATTGTATTTATTACATTTTTATACACAAAATCTGTATACAAAATATTATTTGTGTACAATTTAAACTCCTCCTACATATCATGTAGTTGGTCTGAAACCCTAATAAATGAGGATTTTATTTTTGGCAAAATAAATTTTTTTCTTACATATTTACATCATTATTATATTTCTGGATAAAAATGTTAATTTTTATTTTTTTGAAAAAAAAAAGTAATTTGAAAAAGGCAAGCCAGCTCGCTCTCGACTTGCCCACATACAAGCGCGAGCTGACTCGCATGGATCGATCTAAGCCCAATAATGAACGAGCCTAGCGACTCAACTCGATCTACTGAATATCCCTACTCAACGTGATTCTAGCCTAAAACCCCTAAAACCACTTTAACTCCCTTTTGTCCCATTAAAATTATAGGCGTGTTCGGTAGAGATTAAAATCTGATTAAAATTGAAAAATTAGTCGTTATTGTTGATTTTCATTAGACGAGTGAGACTCAATAACGGTTATATTTTCAATTTTAATTAGATTTTAAGTTTAACCAAACATGCTCTATAATTCAATTTTTTTTACTCTCTTCTTATCAGTCACACATTTTCAGTAAAATAATATTACAAATAATTTTTTTTTTAAAAAAAAAACTTTTTTTTTAACCGCATATTTTTTTTTAAAAAAAAATACTGTTGCAATCATAAAATTTTCAAATAATAGGTGCAAAATGGAGGCTTATCTCACCTTTTGAGGTACGAGTGACATCAATTTTACTTTTCAATTTATTATAACCTAATTGTCAAATCAAAAAAGTTGTCCTAGCCTCTGATGTCATCAATTAAGAATAAACTTGCAATGGATGACAGGGTCGTTGGCCGGTAGCCATGTGAACCGCGGTGGCTATTTTACATGGTCGTTTTCCCACTTTTTACTTACAAAAAATTGGTAATTTTTGAGGTTTTGACTTCTATTTTTGTCTCGAGACTTCCACAAGTCAAAAAATTATTTAAAAACAGTAAAGCACGTAGTGTGAAGCCAATTCTTTGACCTATTTTAAATTTCCATAAAGCATTTTGCAAGGCGTGAAATGCGAAATGAAGTCAATTATTCTTTCGAGCATAAAAATTTATTAGGCTTGAACTGTTCCGAGCTAAAGTGCAAGACTGCCCCTATATACGCCCTGAATCGACCCTATAGCCAGTTAGATCTTTTTGTTTACGACTGTCCTCTATCCACGTCCTCAAACCCACGCTATAGCCAGCTAGGTCCATTTTTAGGTTAAAGTCAATGAACCCACTAAGCTGTAATGCACATAAACGAGTTTAACGTGCGCTAGGAATATAGTTTTTTTTTGGAAAAATAAAGTCTATTATATGGTGGTAGTTGAAGCACACACGTGTATTACAAGTATTGCTTTTGTTGGAATAAAACAATTCATATAGACTATATATTTGGACGGAAATGACTTGTTAAGGTTAAAGGGTCTGTCCAAACCTGGCTTCCTCCGAGGAAATCAGTTTGCTTATTTTAGTACCCACTGCCAGAAAGGACCAAGGGGGGCAATTTTCATTTTGCAAAAGTCCAAATTTATGTTGACGAAGGGGTATGAACATAAAAAATCTGTTGTCCACACTTTTAACAACCACGACTGATAAAGAAATCTGTCACAAATTGTAATCAAATTTGATCTCGAAGGTAGAGGAGTTTTAGCCCCAGTTTGGCCCCCCTTTAAATTCCATTAAAATTCATTATTTGCCAAAATTTTCAACCGCAAGCGAGCCCCATGTGTCCATTCCAACGACATTGCAGTTGACGTATGGAATTGGTGGTCAATAATAATCAATGAAAATTTTTACATTAGATGATTAAAAGACCATAAAACGCCTACAAACATTAGATGCCAAAATGGGGGCTATGCATTGGGGGGTAATTTTGTAATTTGGCAAGGAAAGTGGTGGGTGGTAATGTCTTTACATTGTCCAACGGTCCATTAGATATTGATATCCTCCGCCAAGTGATTAGATAGGGTGCAAACATAGCCCTCACTGTTGTCAAAAAGGTTGGATTGAAAACTTGTTAAAAATTAAATTAAAGAAAGATAAATGGGGCCAAGTGAGGGCTTAGGTTACTCTTGGACAGATGTATTCTTGATTTGATTTTCACTTTATCGCTTTAGATGAAATTATCATTTAATATTGTATTTGAATTTCAAGTTTACGCATAATTTATAAAAATTCTAAAATCTCATGTTTTGTGGGAAAATAAATGTCATCTGCACGATTTATTTCCACATGCATGTAAATAAATGATTTTTATTTTTTATTTTTTTACAAGCTTAGATTTTTAGATTATACATTGTTAAAATGTTGGTCATGCCAACTATGTCAATATATAATCCTATTCTCTTATTGTCCAAACATGCCTTAGATAGTTTGAAATATTCAAACGTGTATTTCCTAGAAAAATATAATACTCATTTTAAAATATAATACTTATTCTATATTGATATATAACATGTACAAAATATAATACTTATTCTATCACTAAGTAGATCGTACAATACTAGGCACAACATTTAGTACTACGCACTAATATTTCCTAGAAATACTAAGTAGTTTGTCCCTCGACAATCGAAAGTAACCTCTCGACAAAAAACATACAGAATCGAAAACCGAAAAGATGTAAAAATCATCGAGGAGCCAACTAAAAAGCATGTTTGTCCTTGCTTCTTCTGCAAAGAAGAGGCTTATTTCGGTAATATCACGCTTGATAATACTCAAAAGGTGGTTTTAAGTGAAGCCAAACATGGTTTATTATTCTCATTATTTATATGTATATGTAGTCCTGCAGTTTGTTATTTGAAGTTCCATAGATTAAAAGATGATTGAGAAAAGTTTCCCCCGTCATCTTCATTGCCATGGTCGTCTTCATTGTTGTCGTCGTCTTTGAATGCAAAATTTGGCGGAATGTACATTTCATCTGGCTCAGGAAATAAGCCAAAATCTGTAACATTACCAGCATCATTTGTATCTAACGTGTCCAAGAATGACCAATCGATCAAGTCCGTTGTTCTGGCACCCTCCGAGTTCGATGAAGGCGATGCATCCTCTAATTCTGCCAAAGATAAAATTTAAATAAAGTAACGAGTAATTTGTTTTTATGTCTAATAACTTGACCTTTTAAATTTGATAAAAGGTGAATTTAAAGACAAAAGTAATGTAAATAAATTTATCCCGTCTCTAACAAGTTACAAAAGTACCTGTTGGTGGCTGCTGAGTATTGCTGCTACTGTTATTAGCATACTGTTGAGCAGCATCTTGTATTTCAGTCGGCGTGAGTGATTGTCCGCCGGTAATGTTTGGCGGATCATCTGGGAAATTAAACTTCGCGTGGCTGCCTCGGAGGCAGAACAGGGCGGCGTCAAACGCCTTGGCCGCCTTCTCAGCCGTGTCGTAAGACCCTAACCAAATCCTTTCCCGGCTATTGGGAAGCCTTATTTCCGATACGTATTTCCCCCACTTTCGCTTCCTAACACCCTTATACTTTAACTGATCATTCCCAGTTCGTGAAGAAGACGGTAAATCCTTGTTCTTTTCCATTTTGTTGGTTCAAAAAGAGAAATCTTTTGATTTATTAAGGTTAAAATTAATTGTTATTGGCGGCTTATTCATTTCGAGTATATATATGTTTGTGCACAGACCACGGTCCAGCTGCTGCTGCTTGTATCATGAAATGGAGTCTTGTTTAGCGTGTTGAATCTTAATGGAATTCTGAGCGTTGAAATAGCCTATGATTCGTCGAGGGTACGTGTTTAAGGTGGGAGTGCGGCGTGGGTTGGGTGGACGAGATAATCGATGATAACATGAAAAAACAGTGGTACGACGTGGTCAGGTCAAAAAGTACGCTAATGTGCACGTGGAGATTTTTGTTTTTTTTTGTATAAAATCTTATTTTGAATGTTTATTATATAAAGGCTTATTAGCACAAAACGTCCCTACGTTTCAATTATTGCTTTTTCACAATATTTCCCCGTTTTCTTGCTGAAAATATCATTTTACTCAATTTTCATCTATTTTCTCTGTGAAATGACAAATTTACCCTCTTATTTAAATAAAATAAAAAATAAAAAAGAAAACAATAAAGAACTAATTGCAACCGTATGCTCGAATTTTTTAAAAATTACAAATGAGTCTCAAACAAATAATTAAAAATCAAAACCAAAACCAAAACCAAAAACAAAAATAATTTTTATAAACCCAAGCCAACCCTACCCCAGCACCACAACCACCACCTGCACCACCAGAACCACTACCCCTATAAAAAAAAATCCCAACTACCATCTCCATATCCATCTCCACCACACCACAATCCCCCACCAAAAAAATCCCCAAATCTTCTTCTCTCCTCCTCCTCTTCTTCCAAAAGGGTCCAGGCCTCTTGCACTTCTAGACCATTTAAGTGATGTAGAAATTAGGATGAAGAGGCCACATCGGAGGCCGTGGTGGTGAGAATTATTCTGCTGCCCAAAATCTGATCACTTGCCAATGCATCCTTGATGTGCTCCCAGTCTTCTCTTCTCCAAATTTCTTTAGCATATCGCTTAAGAGTTCCTCGATATCAAAGTGACAATCAATTCATCAAGGAGAAGAGGACTCGCCTGGACTCAAGTGAATAGCAGCAACAAATCAATTTCAACTATCAAACAGACAGAGTTTAGATTAAAGCCTTATTATTTTAATATAAAAAAGAAAGAAAGTGTCACTTACTGGATTTTTGACATGTTAACTAAATAATAGAATTTTGTAACTGTAATACAAAATATAATATATTTTTAGAATAATGTTATTGTGGTCGCTCACTATCATAATCGTCTTACTTGATATATGTGGTGGTTAATGATTTAATGCATGAGACTAAAAAAACTATTACATTAATGTATCAAATCACATATACGTAAGAGACTACGACTGCAAATAGCATTACTTATATTTTTATCTTTCCTCATTAATTAAAATTTAATAACTATTATTTAAAGTGAGTACTAATGTCAAAATTGAATGTAGATAGAGTGAGTCATTAAGATTTTTTAATCTTTATCACTTATTGTTATATACTAATTAGTAATTAAGAGCCATAAGTATGCTTACTTTTCTTAATTATAAGCTAACAATAGATCTTTTCTTAGTTTCTCATTTGTTAGTTGGATTTTTTTTTATCACATCACAATTTTTATTAGTTGCACTATATTTTAATTGCATTTAAAGTCATCAACATTTGTTCATATTTACACTTGTGTCCCTAAATTTTTTTTTTTTTTTTTTTTTTT